CCCCCCCCTCCTGCACCATACCAGGCCACCTGCCCATGACATGGGGTGGGTGCTTTGCCAGGGAGGGAACCCCTGGCAAAGCACCTTGTCCCCATGTAGATGTGGACAAGTGCCTCTTCCCCACAACCCTGTCCAGTGGGGGCTTATCTGAATCAGATGCTGCACCCCCCTTGTGATTGAGTAAGGGGTGGTTGTTATACCCCACTCATTCACCCCCAAAAAGAACAGAAAATTGTAAATAAACACAACACCGTAAAAAAAAGGTTCTTTCTTTGAGAAAACAACCAACGTGGGTTTCTTGACAATTACTTTAATTAAAAGAAAACCAAAAAAAAAGTCCATGTATGTAATTCAACTGTCAATCACATCGTCCAGCGATGTAGATCCACGTCAATCATAATGAACAACAACTGGGGACTCCTAAAAAAAAAACCCGCCTACCGCCAACCCGTTCAATCCCAACACCGCCGCAAAATGATGACATTTGGGTCAGAGCTGTTATTTAGCAGGGGTGTTCGTGGAGATCGGATGGGTCGGCGAGCTTCAGGTTTTTTTTCTTTCGGCAAGTTGGCGGCCATTGTCCATCATGACTGACATTTTTGGGAGGGGGGGCGAGCGTGCGCCCCCCCCTCCTGCACCATACCAGGCCACATGCCCATGACATGGGGTGGGTGCTTTGCCAGGGAGGGAACCCCTGGCAAAGCACCTTGTCCCCATTTCGATGTAGATGTTCCCCACAACCCTGCCCAGTGGGGGCGATGTAGATCCACGTCAATCATGAACAAGGACTGGCGACTCGCCGAAAGAAAAAAAACCCGCCTACCGCCAACCCGTTTGATCCCAACACCGTCGCAAAATGATAGGAAAGGGGCAGAGCGAGTCGTGAAGTCCTGTGACGTCGTGACTCGCTCCGCCCCTTTGTTGACATTTGGGTCAGAGCTGTTATTTAGCAGCGGTGTTCGTCGAGAAAAACTACCCCTTACTCATTCATGGGGGGTGGCATCTGGTTGCCTTTATGAAAGGGGGCACCTAGATGCAGATAAGCCCCCCTGCCCGCAGTCCCCCACAATCATCGGGCCAGGACCCTTTAGGTCTGGGAGGAATTTTAGGGGATGGTCCCACGCTTGCTGTGGACCTCACGGCAGCCTTGTGGAGAACCACTTGGCGACTATTTACAGCACTTCCACCAGCCCGCACATTCCCCCCACCTGAGACCCTCCACACCCCTCATGAGACCCTCCAGAGAGCCTCTTCACCCCCCCTGCACAATACCAATAAAAGTACATACTACAACAGTAAAAATACATGAAAATCAATGAGGCTAGTTCACACCAGCACGTTGCGTTGAGCCACTTTTTTTCATACAGCATAACACACCGTGCACCCATGAATGTAACAAGCAAAAAATTAAAACGTTGCTATAGAAACATAAAAACAATAGCTAAATAAAAGCTGCACCACAGTGTTATCCCATGCGCTATGGTGTGAATGAATCCTAAGGGAAATGTAATTTCATTAAGTTCTATGGGCACACTGTGGTGCAATGTGGTTGTACTGCATCACACTGAAAAAAAGTACTGCATGCCATACTTTTTTTCACTGCACACCATTGCACCGCAATGCGGTAGTGTGAACCAGGCTCATCTAGAACAAAGCAAATTGCATTGTCTTGCATTGCAGCAGCACTGGAAAAAACACCCAGCGCAGCCCGAACACATCAGGTGTGAACAGGCCCTTAACGTGGTTTGGCGCAGCTGGTGCAATACCACATAGGATTTATCTAACATTGTAATTTTGGTGGGCGGAAAATGCGCCAATATTAACACGACAAAACTGACTTCCCCTTTATTATTTACCCCATTATATTTTTTTTATAACCAACATGTCACAAGTGATCTGTGTCCTCCCATATATATGGATGTCAGCCCCTTGAGCACTTTTGCTCCGCACTAAAATGTAGCTATAAATTGTTGTAAAATGTACACAACCATACAATGACAACACGTTTTCTGCATTGATAATATTTTTTTAAGGTAAGGTGACAAAGTAATCACAATTGATTTCTGTATTGTTTTGCAGCACCTTTGTAGTATAAGACCTTTTTAACACCATCCATTCCGATCAGTAGATACTCCTGAACAGATCTGAGCAGCAGATTGGAGCAGTATGGGATGGTTGTCACTCTTGTGACACGTGTTGTTTTGTTTTTTCCTTAATCTTACAATAGAGGAAAAAAACTGTGCTGTACGGATCCATGTTAGGCCTATGGCCAGTCGGAAGTAAGTGTACCTGTGTCTATTTACACCCGATTACCTCCGATTCATCGCAATCAGGTCTGCTAACATGGAACTCTGATGTGAAGGGGAGCTACTGATGTAAAAGGGGGGCTATGATGTAAAACAGGGGATTCTGATATGAAGGGGGACTCTGATGTGAAGGGGGGAGCTATGTGAAAAGTGGGGACTCTGATTTGAAAGGTTGGAATCTGATGTTTAAGGGGGGACTCTGATGTGAAGGTGGGGTTCTGATTTGAATGAGAGGAGAGCTACTGATGTAAAGGGGGGCTCTGGTGTGAATGAGGGGCTCGATGTGAAGGAGGAACCCATTTTTTTATGTGTAGGGTTGCCCCTTAAAATCTACTGCATTTCAGACTGGGGTGCCTTCAGACTTTGTATACCTTTAAAGGGTGCTTGACTGGAAAAAAAGGTTGAGGAGTGCTGTTCTAAACCCATTTACAGTAGTTACAAATAAGAATGACCTGAATCTGTCACACACGTCGGTAATCGTAACCAAACTGTCATAAGCCTTTCACGAATTAGGCATAGGACTTATTAAAGGGGCTATAGCGCCAGAAAAGTGTTTCAAGTGCTTTATTGATTTCCCCCATTATATTCTGATAAAAACCAACATGTCGCAAAGTAATCTGTGTGCTCCCATATTACTGGATGTCACTTTTGCTCTGCAGTAAAATCTCATAAATTGTTTTGAAATATACACAACCATACAATAACAACATTATACAATAACAACGGTATACAATAACAACACAATACAATATACAATGACAACGGTGTACAATAACAACACTATACATTATCAACATAATACACTATACAATAACAACACTCTTTTGCATCAATAATATTTATTTTTCAGTTACAATATAATCTCAATTGATTTCCTTTTTCTTGCAGCACCTGTGCAGTGTAATACACCGATTTACACCGATGTCTGTGGCTGGAAAAGTTTTCCTCCTCTATAGAGACTTCCATCACTCTTCTCCCGGCTCCACTCTGCTCTGTGCCACTGACTCCCGTGGGGGGGGTCGGACAATGAGCGGAGCCCCTCCCTCTCCAGACTCCGCCCCTGAACTGCAACTGACTCATTGAGCTAATTTCATTCCTCTCTTCATTCCAGAGATTCCTCTGAAAAGCTGTCACCTTTCCAAAATACCAAGCCGGCTTTCCTACCACCACCACCACCACCACCATCATCATCAACAACAACAACAACAGCAGCAGCAGCAGCAGCAGCGGCTCGGCTAGCCAGAGAGCCCTCCTCAGCCTCACCTGACCTTCATCACACAGTAGAGGAGGGGGCAGAGACAATCCCTCTAAGTGCTGCCCAAAAGAGAGAAAAAAGAATCCAAGTCTTTCCCCCATCCAAAGTACCGAGCAGGGGCTGCCTTCCCTCTGCCCCCACTCTGTGCTGGCTCCCAGATCCCCCCACTACAAGCCAGTGGCCACCAAGTCCTTCTAGTAAAGCCCCTGCACGCTTCTCCTGCTGGCAAGGTAAGCAGAAAAAGTTCCAGATCTGTGTATTTCTCTCTCTCTCTCTCTCTCTCTCCCCCCTGTCTATCACAGGATGCGGGAGCTTGAAATCCTTGTCGTTTCTAGCATGTTTGGCATTTTTTGGGTTCCTTTCTCTCTTCCTGATCACTTTGAGCCTGGATCGAGCTGGAGGGGAGGATCACCGAGAGCTTTTCTCGTCCTGTCCTTCCCAGGAATATGGGACTGAGTTGCTTTTTCCTGATTTCTGCTCTTTTTAGCTCTTCCGAGCTCCTTTCTATAGAGGTGGATAATGGATCTCTTTTTAGACGTGGTGATCTGCCTTCCTCAGCCTGGGATCGGACTCCTGATAAAATTTTAACTGTGGAAAACTTTTAAAACCTCTTTTTTTAGTTGTGTTGATTTGGTCTTTGTTGCCTCCTCACACACCAGCTCCCCCAGCCTGGGATCTGCTCCATTCCTCTATCCATTTAAGTCCTGATCCTTTGTTTTTCCATCTTTCTGCTGATCTAAGCAGGAAACCCTGAGCGCTGTGCGAAGCATGGAGTTTAGTTTTTTTCCCCTCAGTTGGTTGCAAGTTTTAATTATGTCTTGAACTCAGTGTTGATTGACACCCCCCATCACCAGCTAGGTTTTAGTTGTGAGATGAATCCATTGTAAACCTTTTAATTGCTATTGATGACCCCTTTGGAAACTTTTTAAAACTTGACTTCTGAACTTTTCCCGATTAAGTTTGAAGGTGTTTAGTAATTGTGTTTTAAAGTATTACCTTTTTCATTTAACTGTAACAAAGCTTTGATCACAGTGACTCATGTTAACCCCTTGCTATGCAAGCAGTGGCAAGCTCTTTGTCTTGGAGTGAAGAAGGGTGTTGGTGATGGACAGGGAGGGAACGGGGGGGGGGCAGTACTGGGGTTACTGTATTTGCCATATTGCCCAACTGTTGCTGACCAGCTTGCAGGAAATGGGAGCCGACATGGAAAGCTGGAAGAGGGAGGGGGAGGTTAGAGAAGAAAAAAAAGGAGGGAGAAGGACAGATAAGGAGGGAAGGAACACAGCAGGCTTTCAAAGTTTGCTCTCTTTGTTCAGCTGCTTGTGCTGTAGGGCTCTGCCATGCTGGCTGGGCTCTGCATTAGCTCTATTTGTTTTGTAGTACCTACAGTATAAATAAAGCAGGAAGCTTGTTTCCACTCTTTTCACTGGCAAGTAAACAAAACTCTTCATGGGGGGTTGGGTGGGGAGAAAATCACAGCACAATACCCTGGGATTTGCCATTGGTGTTACTGGATCTAACTAGTAAAATATAAGAGCTGAAATTGTGGATGATCTGAGAAAATCTAAGGCCATACACCTATAGATATTCTATAGATTTCTTTTCTATCAGCCTATGGTCAGATGGAAAAAATGCAATAGATTCCTCCAACTACGCTAAACTGTGTGGATGGGGTAATCTCCCACTGGGCCAAGCTTCAGTATCTTGCTAGTCGGCCCGCTGGCTGTCAAAATACCTGAACAATCTGATTGGATGCAGGAGCCAGTGGGGCTGACTAGCAAGAAACTGAAGCTTGGCCCAGTGGGAGATTCCTCCACCCACACAGTTTAGCGTGGATGGAGGAATCTGTTGCACTTTTTCCATCTGACCATAGAAAATCTGCAGAAAATCTATAGGTTTATGGCCAGCTTTACAGATAACTTTTTACAATAATGTTTCAATAATGTTTCTGGTTATGTGATTTTCCAAGGATTGTAACCAATCAAATGTTTCAATGACTCTAATTTTTATAAGCTGTTCATTATATTGAATGCCATTGGCTTTGTATGGCCGTTTACTTGTACTTCCTTATTTTAATTACAGACCTCTTTTCCAACTTTTGGCCGTTCTTTAGTGTACCGGCCAAAATTCGAACAGAGTGCAGTGTGTGGAGCTGTCAGTTACATATAAGGCGGCATTCCTCGGTCACCTGATCGAAAGAGCTGGCTGAAAAATGTTCGATCGATCAGAGCCGTCAGCCAATAAGCTGCCTGCTCTGATTGGGTATTCTGACAGGTGCTGCCGGAATACCCAATGTAAACAGTGGGATTCCTAGATCGACACGCTGTTTGTGTTGATGGAGGAATCGGGTCAATTTTTTTTCGTTCAAAAAAACAATTTTGTTAGTTTTATGGTATTATTTATGGCAGGGCCGTCCTTTAGGGCCGGGGGGGGGGCCCAAGAAATTGTTTGCCCAGGGTCCAATCAGTATTAAAGACGGCCCTGATTTATGGTATTATAGGTATATGGCCAGCCTAAGAAGCTATTGGAAGTTGTTGGTAGCCCTCGCTGTACTAGTTAAACAAACGTCTATAGCAGCCTTTGTCAACCAGGGTTCTGTGGAACCCTATGCTTCCTTCAGAGATTGTTAGGGGTTCCTTGAGCTGTGGCTAATTGACCTACCCATTTCATGGTGCCTACATAGTTACAAGCCCAAACTCAGCAACATGATACCAATTATCTATTTAGATGTTGGTAAGGGTGGAATTCTGACGACCACTGTAAGTTGCAATCTTTGTACTGACAACCATGGGTTGAACTTGATGGACGTATGTCTTTATTCAACCCCAAATACTATGTAACTATGTAACTATGTAATCAATGTAAGTGGTATTTTTCCTATTGACCCCCAATTAATTGGCTTAAGTAAGGCTTTGCCGAGACCTGAAACTTACTTTATAAGTTCCTTTGGTGTAAAAAGGTTGAGAAAGGCTTGTCTATAATATCTAGATTTGAGAACCGTTAGTGTGATTTATCATACTCGGTATATACATAACTTAATCAAAATCTTTCGATTGGACTCGGTATATACATAACTAAATCAAAATGTTTCGATTGGTCTAATATTATCCTGTTCTAGCATTTCTTGCGACCACTGGCCAATGACTGCCAGAAGTCCTTTTTTATGTACAGGTTTGAACATTTTTGTGTAAAAGGGTTCCATTCATTCTTTTATGTATGGCGAAATTAGAACAAGCTTGTTTTTGCTCATATGCCACATTTACACATAGGCAGAATCAGAGAGCACACGATGATGGGTTTGAGAAGGTGTAGCTGTCACCCTGCGTGTCATTGTTGGTGAGACATCTGCCTGTTTAAGGCCAAACTCGGAGTCATCCATATTGAATATACTTTAAAGTAGTGAGAAGTAGTTGTCCACATAAACTTCCTGATTGCCAGAAGTGATCCTCAGACCTGTTGCATCACTTGTGAATGGCTGGCAAAAGCTCCACTATTATAGCATAGGTCACTGTATAAACGTAAACAGCCCATACACCAGTAGAATATCACTAGGAAAAATCAGTTTTTAGAGCGTTTGATTTTCTAATACTTAATGGGGCTAAATCGATGATCATTTTTGACTGAACTGAGTGGACTGGAGCAGGAAGGAAACATTTTCTTGAATGAGCAAAATTGTAATTGCAATTTTTTTTTTTTTTGGTATGAATGTTCATACAAAAATCGAGCAGTGCCTGGCTGGCTTTAGAGAATCTGTCACTTCTCAACCCATGTGAACTTCACATCAGATTATATCTAACACACAGGAATAGGGCTTGTTCACACCATGCCCGGGTCATGTCCATACCAGAACAATTTCTTCCCGGACCAAAAAAGTATCCCAATTTATCCCTATGGTATTTCTGGGCTCTGTTCAAACCAGTGCAGTCAGTTCCAGTACAGACAAAAAAATACTGTTTGTCTCATTTTCTCTGGTCTGGAATGCATGGAAACGCCACAAAAATGCATACAAATGCATCGGAATGCACTGGACTGCACCCTAAAGCCCATTTTGAGCTCAGAAAATGAACTGTACTGTGTTTGCAGATCTGCTCCAGATCTGGTCTGGACATGGTGTGAACAAGCCCTCACACCAAATAGTTCCAGAGTGGTTAGCTGCTAGAATGCACTGTATCGCATCCCGGCCAGCTTGCTGCGTTCAGGGGCAGGAGAGGGCGTGGCGGTGCATTGAAGTCATAAGCACCGCAACCACACACCCCGCCCACACCAGAAAGTGTGGCACATCATTGCCTGCTTTCCGGTCCAGTGCGATCTAAAAATATAATGCATGCAGCATTTTTTCAGATCGCATTGGAGCGGAACACAGGCATTGTTGTGCCACATGTTCTGGTGTGGGTGATTGCACTGCGAGTGGGGGGCGTGGCTGCAGTGCCATTGACTTCAATGCACCGCCATTTAAGTTTTACCTCTCCCGCCCCTAAACGCAGGAAGGCGGCTGTTATACGGTACAGTGCTTTCCAGCAGCTAACCGTTCTGGAACGCACTGTAAATTGTGTGAACAAGCCCTTAGACACGTGACAGTGTTACAGGGCTGTGTTTGGTCTATAGGCCCAAGCATTGCATCATGGAAGGATGTTGTATCCCTTCCCGTATGCGGAAGCATCAGATATTTTGCAGTGGCTGCAACAGAGGGAGCCGACAAATAGTTTTGTTTATTCTTGCACTCATAGTTGTACTACTAATGGTAAGTTGATTAATATATTAAGTAGTGCACACACAAAACACATTCATATTTACCATTAATGTGTAGTAGCCCCTCAGGGCAGTACTGCTGGCTTATCAAATTAACCTTTTTTTAAAAAAAAAATGTTTTGTTCAATTTGCAGCTGTAAATTCAGTTCTACATGGTGCTGAACTATGTTTTCTTTGCTAATCACTGGATACTGCAATTCTATGTTGAATATTAAATTATGGTAAGATTGCGTGAGTTGGTAAAAGCAGATGACCTCTAAAGTCGGCCCGATTTTTTTTCTTTTTTTTTTTTTGCAGTTCCATGTCATGCTGCAGGACATGTCATGTCTCCATGGTGACTTGTTTTATGAATATGACTTGACACATTGTAATTAGTCTTGTAAAAGTAGGTTGGATACATTTAGAACAAAGCTGCCAAATCGAATGCAGACCTAGAAGGCTTCTCCGTGGAAAAATGACTTCAATTGTGGGTGTGTTGTCA